GTATTTTATTTCCCTAAAATATTAACGTAAGCCATTTCTGTTTATATGGGCAGTAAAATAAATTTCGAAAAAAATTTCCACAGGGACTCTAATAGATTATTTGGGTATTTCCTATTAAAWTGACAAAGCATTTAAAGCAGAATCAAATTGTGACCCAAAGAATTGAAATTGAATCGAACCGTGAGCTCGGTAACAATACCCAGCCCTAATCATGAGCTGAATCGAAGAGAAAAAGAAAGAGGGAGAATTGTGATCAAATAAAAACAAATGAAAAGGCAGATGCAGTAACTAAAGAGTATAGAAAAAAAGGCAAAGCTTGGAGCTGTAACACAGAGTCCTAATGAAAGTGCACTGGTTGAACGCAGGGAAGCAAAACCTTCATTCAATGTGAAGGACACTTCATAACCTCTATAGATTTTCTTTGGGAAAAAATGTGACGGGAAAAAAATCAATTTAATAAAAACATTATTTGCTCTTTGACACAAAACTTCGGGTTCAAACTTAAGATACAAACAGACAAAAAAAGAAAAAAATAACATACATTTTGAGAACAAAGTGTTTAGTTTGTTAAAAACAAGTGGGAGGCTTTTTTTTAATCCAGAGGGAGTTTTATAATGTTTTGTCTGAATCTGACTGCGACTGTCTAACTTAATGCTATAGCTCTGACAGTGAGGCATAAAAGTGGGAGTATGTTATGTGGCTGCATGCTTATGAAATTGAATAGATGACATTTATAGACGGAACCAGTAATGTCTTTGAATATAATAAAATACAGTCTGACAAGTTGACGGGCAGTATGCAAAAACTTAACAGTCATGTCAGTACTTGATCACATTTATCATGTGCAGGGAACAAATCTAGTTAACGCACAGCTGGTTGTGAGAATTACTTACTTCCTTTGATATAGTTTTAAACTTAAGATAAAAATCCAGTGTGAGTTCAAATTACAATTCAAAACACAGAAAATCTAATTTTTATATGTCATTAAAATTGACATTTTTCTTCCCAGGTTGATACAAGTTCAAATTCAATATTTCACTGCAGCATGTTCTCTGCTAAGTGAGTCCACTGTGAAATTAGTCCAATAAAGATAAGACAAGCTTAAAGTCTCAATGAAAATGCATTAAAAATGGTCAGAGAAAAGGAACAGAGCAGCAACTCTGTATTCAAAGTTAAAGTGAATAACATACTTTGAAGCTATAAATGTTGGCTTAAAAATATAGTAAGTGATATACAGCGGGTAAAATAAGTGTTGAACACGTCACCATTTTTCTCAGTAAATATATTACTAGAGGCGCTAATGACATGAAATTTTCACCAGATGTCGGTAACAACCCAAGTGATCCATACATACAAAGAAATCAAACCATAAATGTCCAGAAATGAAGTDATTTGTAATAATGTGGAATGGCACAGGGAAAAAGTATTGAACACATGAAGAAAGGGAGGTGTAAAAAGGCATGGAAAGCCAAGACACCAGCTGAACTCTCTCAGTAATTAGAAAGCAAGCCTGCCCCTTGTCAGTGCAAGTTAATATCAGCTGGTTCAGTCCCAAATGATGGCCAGGTATCACACAAGAATCATCTGATGATGGGTAAAAGTAAAGAGCTCTCTCAAGACCTTCACAACCTTATTGTTGCAAAGCATAATGATGGCATCAGTTACAGAAGAATGTCTAAACTTCTGAAGGTTCCAGTGAGCACTGTTGGGGCCATAATTCAGAAGTGGAAAGAACATTATTTCACCATAAACCGACCACGACCAGGTGCTCCTCACAAGATTTCTGACAGAGGAGTGAAAAGAATMATCAGAAGAGTTGTCCAAGAGCCAAGGACCACTTGTGGAGAGCTTCAGAAAGACCTGGAATTAGCAGGTACGATTGTTTCAAAGAAAACAATAAGAAATGCACAGAACCACCATGGCCTGTATGRACGCTCACCACGCAAGACTCCACTGCTGAAGAAACAGCATGTTGAAGCTCCTTTAAAGTTTGCTGCACAACATTTAAACAAGCCGTAATACTGGGAGAGTATAGTCTGGTCAGATGAGACCAACATTGAACTGTTTGGATGCCAGAATACACATCATGTTTGGAGGTCAAATGGCACTGCACATCAGCCCAAAAACACCATACCAACAGTGAAGTTTGGAGGTGGGAACATCYTGGTGTGGGGCTGTTTTTCAGCATATGGTACTGGCAAACTTCAAATAATTGAAGGAAGGATGAGTGGAAACATGTACAGAGACATTCTTGATAAAAATCTGCTTCCATTTACCAGGATGATGAAGATGAAACGTGGCTGGACATTTCAGGAAGACAATGAGCCCAAACACAAAGTCAAGGAAACTCTCAGTTGGTTTCAGAGAAAGAAACTAAAGCTGCTGGAATGGCCCAGCCAATCACCTGACCTGAATCCAACAGAAAATCTATGGAAAGAACTAAAGATCAGAGTTCATAGAAGAGGTCCACGAAACCTTCAAGATTTGAAGACTGTTTGTGTGGAAGAATGGGCCAAAATCACACCTGAGCAATGCATGCAACTAGTTTCTACATACAGGAGGCGTCTTGAAGCTGTCATTGACAACAAAGGCTTTTGTACAAAGTATTCAATAAATTTCAGTAAGTGTGTTCAATACTTTTTCCCTGTGCCATTCCACATTATTACAAATAACTTCATTTCTGGACATTTATGGTTTGATTTCTTTGTATGTATGGATCACTTGGGTTGTTACCGACATCTGGTGAACATTTCATGTCATTAGCACCTCTAGTAATATATTTACTGAGAAAAATGGTGATGTGTTCAATACTTATTTTACCCGCTGTAAAGTGTATACTCCTTCAACGGAGAATAATTCCGTGTTACATAAAGTGAAGGGTGAGAAATCATCAGGTCATGTAAGAGCATGTGTCAAACTTAAGGCCACCTTGACTTCCATCTGGCCTGCCAAAGGGGCTCCGCCAAAAAAAGAGAGAAAATATTTTTTTTTACTTAATTTAACAAGAAATCTGTTTTTTTTAATCAACAGTAATCTTTAAATTCATGATTCAACGCACCAAAATAAACTAAAGGTGAAAGATAATATTTGTCCTGCTCCTGAGCTATTAGCTTTGAGTAACTGTGGCTCCCTGAGCAATTTTGTTGGATGGCCCTGCATTAATGTCTCAAAAAAAGCTGCTTTAAAGCCACCAATGATCATAAACTACATTTCCCATAATGCATAATGATTATGCATGGGAAATCCCTGTTGGAAAGTGGGAGAGTTCAGAATTCAAGACAGCAGCAACTCACCACAACTCAACAGTGATTAATTTATCAATTCTCTCACATCACCCCTATATTATCAAACCTCCACTGGCTACCTGTACAATTCAGACTCAAGTTCAAAATCCTGGTTCTCACTTTTAGAGCTCTACACGGCCAAGTGCCGAACTACATCTCCGGTCTTCTCTCGCCTTATAACCCCAAACGCAACTTGCGCTCACAAGACTAGAATCTGCTGTCGGTCCCCAGTACTCGCTTCAAGACCCGTGGTGACTGTGCTTTTTCCTCAACYGCTCCCAGACTGTGGAATGCCCTTCCGCTCTGTCTAAGATCTGTTGAAAACACTGACTCCTTTAAAAAACTAAAAACARACCTCTTCACTCAAGCSTTCAACTAAATATATTCAACACCTCACAACTTGAGTTWATAAGCCCTGACTAACAATCATGTGTGTTATTCCGGCATAACTGCCATTTTGAGGGTCTCCATATGTGGCCCTTGGTGAAAATGAGTTTGACACCGCTGTACTAGAGGAAGACATTCAAAACATTTTTTAGTTTAGTGTAAGCACACAGTTCGATTTTTTATCAGAGTTAGTATTTTTGTGATTTTTATCTAAGTGACATATTATATTCCCGGTGTGTTATTCTTTTGATTAAACTACATTTAACCAGTCTTTAATCAGAGTAAAAGGTGATCCAGCGCAGTACCTGACACACGTTCCTCCGTTACGGCAGGGAAGGTGTTGYCAGACAGGCGGGTCGCAGTTCCTGATGTTTCTTCCTCTCACCGCCTCACCCAGCAGGTCAATTTCTTTAGAGCTGACCTGGAGTTCCTTGATGCAGCCGATGAATCTCCTATCTCCTTTCACACTCCCATCATGCATTTCCCAGTGAGATGAAACGGCACCAAGAAATATGGGTCCAAAGGTCGCCTGCGTGAGAAACAGAAGAGCGCCAGAGATTCACGTCATTTAATAAAGCACACAGTGTGCTACAGTACATTTCTTCTTTCAAGAGCAAGCTTTCCATTTGATTTTGTATTTAGTACTTTACAATTATTATCACATAAACAGAAGCTTGATGTACTGATTAAAATTCTGATTTTCATCTTGTACTTCAAATGTTTCTAGGAATTTTTTACATTCTATTGAATGTGGGAATCAGTGATRGGCCTCAAAGTTAACACGAGTTTAATGGCACAAGCTCTACTTGTTACATACAGTTTTAATGTAAAAAGCAAAATAAATCATAAAATAATGAAAAGTGCCAATGTTATTTAGTAGAACGAATTAAGATTAATCTATAAAATGTATAATTTTTCCTATTATAATCAATTTAACAAGTAAAATGAGGCTCTCTGAAAACACAACGCTACATCGACATTTTCCAAAAACTAACAAAAAACGTCACATTGAAATCAAAAACAGCTTTTTAACCTTGCAATGACCTCTTTATTTTAAAAAATAAAACCTTAAACTTTAAATMATGTTARATAACTTTCAAGGCTTAAAAAACTTGTTTATTACAGCTTCCTGAAATAAGACCTATGTTTTGATTTGTTTTAACTGAGCAACACTAAAAAGAAAACCAAACATTTGTTAGTTCTGCTTGTGCAAGAAAGAATTTCAGATTTTGAAACTGTAGCAGCGAGGCGAAGCTGCACATCTGTAACRCTTTACGCCTGTTTAAACTCTTTAACATGTATTTTATTGCTCCTTTTTTACTGAAGTAATGTTAGAAATATATGGGAGTTTATGTGACAGAAATTATTTCAAGCGCTCTATAACGTTCTCCAAGGCTCATCTTTTTATTTCACACTTTTCTTTCCCCACACGCTTGAACATTTTCCGGGTGAAATATATTTTTTAAAGCTACACCGCTGATATCCAACTTCCTATGAAATGCAAAAGTTCTGTTTTGTAACTGCTACTACGAAATCCAAGCCGTCATGTCGGTATRTATGCCTTTGAAGTGCTTCCAGAGTGGCATTCGTCATGACTTCATGCTGGCACCGGAGGAAATGTGATGGACAGCTGCAGGGAAGGTGTTCAGCGGAGGGACAGTGAGGTGTTAGACCACATAATCATTCGGGATGTTGGCTTAATGCAAGCTTTCAGCGACATAACTGCTGCATATCTGAAAGCCTATAAAAAGCCACTGCTGACAGGGTTCACAAGAGAAGTGTGTGTGTGTGTAAAGTCACCACGTAGTTATGAGCCTGAAGAGTATCTTTAATAAAGCTTAAGTGTCAAATAAACTAACCAATGGTGGGCTCGAAACTTTTACAACAAGCAAAGCTGTTTTTGTGTGATACAATCAGCAATGAGCCAGCAGAGCTGCATAATGACGAGGGGCCGAWGCTGAATGAATTTATGGCGCTTTCAAGTATGTTTACCATGTTTATGAGAAGAGTCCATTTGAAAGGCTCACTTATGTAATATTCATGACTTTGTAAGTGGACCCACAGCACTGAGCTCACAAGAGCTGTACGCTCATGTTTGAATTCCGTTTCAAGGCACCACTTATAAGCATGGCATCTGTATCAGAGCTACATGTCTGAGAATTCTTCTTCTACATTTGTAGGCTAAAAAAAGCAACAAACAAACCATGAAAACACATTGTTGCGACAAGATCTAGAACTGAGATTTTCTTTTTAGTCTCAGCCTTAACKACCTTGCAAGAAGTTTCCTTTATAATCATTTTCACAGATTTGCACATTATTTCCTTCTGAACTGAATATGAATTCAATAAAACTTCATTAAAAGGGCAATATTATGTGTGTCTCAGGCAGACATTTAAATACTATACCATAATAAAGTATCTTTAMTTGTTATTAAAATGCTGTTTTTATGTTTAAATAGAAAATAAACTTATCTTCTCATCACTTCCTCTTCTAAACGCCTTGAAATTGGCCTCTGTCTCTTTAAGAACCACCTTCTGTCCCGCCCATTTTGGTGCGGGGGGGG